GCCTAGCAGACCTATCCCCACAGAATTAAACACTTTACGACTGTTTCCTTCTGTGTGGTTGGGGAAGGGTAAGGTTAATACGAGCTGCGCTGAGACGGAAACATGGACAAGACGAGCACTTTTGCCAAACCCGCAGTGTCAAAAACCATTGTCCACAGCATTTTTACAATTACAATTGAAAATGCCTCTTCAAAAGCTTAATCATAGTAAATCCTGATGGAGCACGTCAGTAGATATCCAATAATGCTAATATGCTCGGTAATTTGTGCTGCGGTTTTACCACCAATGACTTGTGACTCTGTTCCTTGTGCTGCTAGAGGGGGCTTTATTCGAGACGACAATCGGTGTTGCGATGTCGCGGCATCAATGGAGTTTCAATCACAGCAGGTCTGGTCCGAAAGAGGTGTTGTTTTATTTAAACTGAACAATGGGTGAACCTGATTCGAAAATCATAAGCCAGACGTAAGTTTCGAGGCCGAGGAAAAGGCGTAAATGATCCTCATCAAAGACCCCACACAGTCATTGGAAAGAAACTTTAAATAGGGTTTGGCAATAACACCCTTCTAAACCTGCTAAAGTTCCCTTCTTTCAGTTAACCGATGTCCCACATTCCCCTCTCAAAATAAACTCCTACAACCCTTTCGCACAGTAAAAATGAAAGTTACTTTTCCATAAATTAAAAGAAACTTTCTACCAAATAGATTCTCTCCTGCCCATTAAAAACCAATGGAAATTCCCCAATTGCATTCCCTTCTTACGACTGGTCCTTACACGCATGAACTGGTTCTCAAGCTTAAAAACCTTCACTTACATGCAACATTGGTTACTGATTTCCAGTTGCATTTAATGCTTCGTCACGCCGTATGGCCAGTTCTTTACACCTTTGCTGTTGCATCAAACAAGTAGGCATATTCGAAATCTTTGCTTTGCTTGAATCATTAATAAATACGATTCAAAATTTATTCAAAAGTTCAAGACTGGTACGTGTATCGAATACCAATCCACTGCATATACTGTACCATACAGTACATGTACAGTACATTGCCATAGTGTATAACAATGCTTGTTAGTGCATGACACCAGGCTTGCGCTCTATGAATGTGATAAATGTTAACACATATACATGTACAATATACACATATACATATACAATGTACAGTACATTGCCATAGTGTATAACAATGCTTGTTAGTGCATGACACCAGGCTTGCGCTCTATGAATGTGATAAATGTCAACACATATACATGTAACACGAGGTTCACCATAAGACAAGGGTTTTTGGAGAGTCCCTCGTATTAACCGTGTTCGACTGTACATGTACTTGTAGACCTATCACTACTCCATCGAAACAAATGGCCTACAGTCGACTCTCGTTATTACGAGGGCCTTGGGACTTTCTAAATTAGCTCGTAGTATCCGGACCTCGTCTTATGTGAAAGCTTCTGTCCCGCTTGTCGCATGTGTAACCGATCGACCGCATCGTTAAGCGTACATCATGTACAACTTCCTGTACATACATGTACATGTAAGCCTACACTGTACATGTACTTTGTATGCACGTACGTGTGGTTTGGAATGTAATTTCAAAACAGTTTATGTTTATGAAAGTGAGAAGTAACTGTCCTTTTTATGAATAAAGACTTGAAATAAAGAACAATAACGTAATACAAGAACGGAGAAACCGGTCAAGTCGAGTTGGAGGATGCATGGTTGGAGCGATGCCGTTTTACGTCCCCAGCACGCCGCGATGAGATCGTCATACAACGCACGCATGTAAGCACATTAACATTTTAGGTGGTAACCAACATCAGTGCTGCGCTTGTTACACAAAATGGGGGGAACCAGTTATTGGTGGTGTGGATTGGCTAGTAGAGGACGAATAAATTATTGAGTATTGTACGTTTTAATTTGAAACAGCGTGTGGATTTGGTGAAAAATTAAGCGAGGGATGCACTTTTTTTCTTCCAATTACGGAAGCGCCTTTCCGAATTTAATGGATTGACTGATTGACAAGTTGCCTTCAAAAACGCTTGTGCTAATTAGACGGATAACAATACATTTCCACGCAGCTGGAACCCCCAAAATGCTCGTCTTGAACGGAATCTCGTAACACGCGAGCTCGTATTATGGATTTTTTTCCTCATAGGAATGTGCATAATTCAATCGGGACCAGCAAATATACTCGTCTTAACCGGAGTCTCGTCTTACCCGAGCTCGTATTACCGAGAGTCGACTGTATTTAATTACACACGACCGATTTCCTTTTCCTCCTTTTTAGTTAACTAATGTATTCCCCGTCCATACTTCTCTGACTTTCTGTACCTTAAATTTATCTTATTTTCTTTTCACAATTGCAGCTTGGGATTGCAAAGTTATCATTTGGAACCTGGAAACAGTGGAAGGATTTTTGGAAATTGAAACACCAGACGTTCCCTACTCTGTTGATTGGGATTACAATGGCAGTCGCATTGTGGTGGCCTGTAAAGACAAGAAGATTCGTGTTTATGATTCACATGAAGGAACGAAGCTGAGTGTAAGGATTTCTTTATATATGAATTTGAAGTCCAATTCCAGCCATTAAGCATAACATGTCATTAACCTGTAAAACATGTTCTTGGCCAAGGCAGGTTTATAGCTGCAAGCTGCCATGTTCACCCTACATGTATGTGTTTCACTTGTGGTAAGTTAGAATGTGCAGGCAAGGCATACATAGTGTGGACCTCTGCACAAAAGATGTCCACATAAATGTAGGATGTAATGGCGTTGAGTGGACTTGCACACGTCCACACAATGTTTCCCCCTTTCTGAGAAACAGCTTCAGAGGCATATTGGGTTCAAGGTTATCCGTGGCAAAATGAAAAGGAACCATCCAGAAAATCATCACCAAAAATCCAGCTTGAAGGAGTTATCCTAGTGGGTGAGAACGGAGCATTTTTCCCAAGTTACCTTAACCACAGGAGAACAAAGGAATGTCCACACTTCGTAAGTGAAACAAGTGGGGGTATTCTTGTGATGTATTCCTATAATACATTTATTAACTTTTCTTTTCCCGTGGGCCAGATGAACAGGTACCGTACAGGTACCCTATTTGTATGAACTTATCACCGGTGGGCTAGGCAACACACTTTAGGTACCACAACATTTGTAGTGTAACGTACAATGATATCATACCTCTCATGACTATGTCTCCTCCTGTAAAACACATTGTATACTTCTGCTATTAATGGACCCCTCTAAAATTTGTGATTTCCCATCCTCCAAGATGATTTCCACCTGTTTGTTTTGGTGACCCCCCGTTTGATTGTTTGGGTTCAATTGTGTTGGTTATGTTAGTGTAAATTGGGATGTACGCTGTATGTGTACATGCTTGCCTTTTAATGAAGACGACAACATCATGAAAAGTGACGGTCTCTTCTTCCCTTCTTTGATGTCATTGACTGCCTTCTTCCACAAAGTTTCATAAACAGCCAGTTCTGCCAAATTGTAGTTTGAAAGCACCCATCCTTCACGATCCACAAAATTTGAACTGTGCTGGCTAGCATGTGAGGCTCCACATGGCCAGCTGCTTAGTCAGTCATGCAGTTGACAGGGTACTTTTATTTATTGTTTTCAAATTCAAAACAAAAAAAAAATTCATTGGCTGCACTTAAATAATATTTAAGCTTTTCCCCAAATCCACCTGCCATTTTTTTCCATTTTTACTGGCTATTATGCACAATGCTTCCCATCAAGTTTTACTCTAGATTTGGCAAAGTACCCATCCAAAATCACATACTGCCTGTCCAAAAAATGGATGGACGGTTCTCCACATGTATGAGACCCTTTTCCTCTAGCTTCCTCTCAGCTTGTATGGCAGTATTGTTGTTCTCTGAACAGCAATATTGCCAAACAACCTGAGAGCCTATGAGCCTTACCAAATTTGGCAATTTATATTCATGTATGGTAAGCATACTTGAGTTCTGGGTAACTCTGTGATCAGTATTATCAATATATGGAACAATTTTTCCCTCAAACTTTCCAGTTTTATTAACTTTCTTATTTACATGTACTATGTGCCCTCTTTAATCTGTGGCAGAGCCACCTCAAAGGTTGTCATAACAGGCATAGGACTTTGCCTTTCTAAGAAGTTTCAATGCTCAATTTAGTTTTTACAACATTACAACATGTGATAATCACACTCAACTTCCCACAAGATGTGCAGTATTTAGTTCCACAAGGACCTCAGTTCTTTTACCTACATGCATCTTCACAACTGTCATGACTGTAAATGCTCTCACATTTTGCAAGATCAAGTTCCACAAATACTGGACCAGAAATATGAGAAAAAGTCCAAAAAGTTGAAAAAACTTAAGTCCTGAATCATCCTATCAGTTTGCTTGTTTCATGTACAGTCTCATCATAGTAACTGAAACAAGTTTGAGCAATACATGGTGCTATAACCATAACCATCCCATTTCTTTGGTACACGTTGATCCTTAAATGTGAATGAATGCAATAAAGATCGACATGTATTCAGTGTTCATCCTTGGTAGGCTTGGCAGTGCTTTCTTCTTGCTCCAAAAATAATCAACATGATGTTCTACTAGTAGCAAATTTCAATTTTTGAATTACACCAAATATGAGGTACAGACTGATTTTGGTTTAACCTGTCCATTTTTGCCATGTAGGAGTGGAATGGACACGAAGGCACCAAACCACAAATGGTTGCATTTACTAAACAGGGAGTCCTGACCACTGGGTTTAGTAAAATGAGTACGAGGGAGTATGCCCTGTGGAATGAGGTATGTACATGGAACCACCTGCCAACAACGTTAGTTGAAAGGCAGGATGGAAGCCCCACTGAACATGTTGGGATGCTGTTACCATAGCTACATGTACATTGTTTATAGTTCGTTGGTTTTTGTTTTTGTTTTGAGGGGGGAGAGGTGGTTTTGCTTTCAGTGTTTGGCAACCAGGAACTGGGGATGTGGGTGGGGGTCATGCAATTAGATAGAATAGTTTGTAATAAATTTTTGGTATCATTTGTTAATGAAAGCTTTGTCCATACTCGTGATATCTGAAAAGCTGCATGAGAAACAAGCCGTATGTTGATAAGTCTGTGATTCTAATTTTAAAAAAAGGTACTCATGGACCAGATATTTGATATTTTTCTGTTTAGAAAACTGGTGAACAGCTTGCCCAGGAAGACCTTGATTCATCAAATGGTGTGAATCAGATCATTTATGACAGGGACACAGGAATGTTTTACTTTGCTGCAAAGGTAAGCTTTCTTATCTAACATTCAGTTCCTAACAGGGTTTTTTAAGAGCTTCTAAAGCACTCTGAGATACTTCAGAGAAATAAGTGCCGTGAAACTTCCCGTGCTTGTCCAGTCATTTTATTGTCCAAGAGCGATGAAGGTATGAAATTAAATTTACTTTACGCGTATTGAAATGGCAGAAAAATACTGTTTCCTTGGTCGCGTGGTCAGAAACAGTGAAAGCCAAATTCTAAAAATTATGTTGTTACACGCGTCACTGAACTCTGCAAAGAAAGAAAACAGCCTCATAGGGCACTGTGTCCCCCTTCCTGCATCGTATATTGTACTTGAAGACACAGTTCCAAGCGCAGATCATACAGGTAGGAAAAAACAACAAGCAAGATTGCTTCATATCGGTGTATCTTTAAATGGCATAAACATGTAAAAGCAAATGTTGTTACCACTCCATTTTGTAAGTAATATTTATACTTTTGTAGGGTGTGGGACACATGGGCTAAATAATTTACTTGCATTCCACAGCACAGGACATTTTTGAAAGAGTAGTGTCCATGTATACTGTTTTTTATTGCATACAACAAAGGTGGAACACTTGATATACATGTACAACATGTAACCAGGACCTTGTTACGCACACTATAACATAGGACAGAAATGGTACCTGTTATAATGCCCAACTGAATAAAGTACCCAGGCTGGTCTAATTCCATGTTGATTCTACGTTTTCTACTAACTTTATAAAATATGATGTCCTTATATATTAAGTTTTTGGGTAGAAGAGATTTTTTTGGTTTGTTGAGACACAAGTGGTTACAGTGTGGTACTTATTAATGGCAGTTGGGCAGGATAGTCATTTAAAGAAGTTGCTCAGCCATATTTTAAAATTCAGAACAATAAATGCTATATTCTTTTGTTTGAACCCTGGCAAAACAATCTGAATACATTTGGCTCACTTTATCAAAAATGATAGGTTTATAAACATGTGATTTTGTCTTAACAGTATTGCAAGAAAAAATGTTGTATCTCTGCTCTCAATGTAGTACCCAGGATACATTCTAATGAAAACAACGTAAGTCAGGACATACAGATGTCAAGTTTTTATTGTGTTCATTTCCCAGTAGACACCTTAATGCAAGAAATACCCTAATTTCTGTACATTTTCTCAGGGAGATTCTGTGATCCGCTACTATGAGATGACAGGAGAAGACCCGTTTCTGTTTTACCTGAGTACCTACCAAGCCAAGCCTCAGACAGCTGTGGGAATCATGCCTAAGAGAGGTTGCAATGTGAATGCATGCGAAGTCATGCGATTCTATAGAATAGAAAAAGCAGACAAAGGAAACACAAGCCAATTTGTTATCATCCCTACAGCTATGACTGTGCCTCGTAAGGTAATGCCATTGAATTTGGACAGTTTAAAAGAAAGTTGGGAGGTTGAAGCGCAGAGGATTATGTTGAAGAGGACAACTCTGTGATTTTTGCTACAATCAAATTTAGCTTGTAGTGTACATGATATTGGAATCCTAACTGTTTGTAAATTATAGAACTGAAACAGAAGATCAGCATATGATAACAGATATTCGTATGTTTGTCTTTCACACTCAAGCAAAATGTGTGAAAAGCAAGCTTGCTTATATATGTATGCATAAATAAACTTCCGACAACATAAATATTGACACTTTCTGTTTAATGTCTTCAGTCCGAAACATTTCAAGAGGATATCTTCCCTGATACCCCTGGAGATGAACCCTCTATGACTGCTGAGGAATTTCAGAGTGGCAAAAACAAGGATCCCATTTTAATGTCACTGAAGTCTGGGTACAAACCCAAGGAGAAGTCCGTTCGTGCAGGGGGAATCATGAAAAAGGTGGATGGAGGATCCCAACTTGGAAGCAAGATGCAAAGCAAAGGATTGTCAGGAGATAAGAGTGGAAGTGGAGCAGGGCAGAGTACAGCTACTGGTGCAGCCAGTACGGTAGGTTCAATCATATGTTCTATCACAAAATGCTTCAGTAGTGGTCGGGTTTTGATATCTGAAGACATGTATTTGGTTGTGACCATTGGAATCTGATAGACAACACACTGCACTCTCTGACATCATTCTACCTTATCTTCATGCAAACATGGATTTTCACTTCTTGTTGGTGTCTCCATGGCAACAAACAGTGACATATACGGTAGCTGTATTGCACAGTTCATGTCAAACCTTGCGTAATGTGCTGTTCTAACTTGGTGTGATGCATGACTTTTACGCTAAAAGCAAAATGGCCAACGGCAAAATTTACCGTAAATTCAAACATGGCATGTTTGCGTGGATAGGCCCATATATCATCTTTGCTGTGTTGTAAGTTTGTCTGCCGATGCATTCATTATCATGCTCGTGGAACACAGAATTATATAATGTAGTGCGTCTGTGTCCTGTCTACCATTCGGCCTCATTACAATATTTGCAGTCATGTGATAACTGTTATTGTTGTAGCTAGGATATACCACCGTATATTACATGATCAAGGAATACTCATTCTTTGAGGCTTAAAGTGTCATATCTAGTTAGTTGATTTGTGGGATTACGTGTCATACAGTACCTCGCAATTGAAACTTTACCCTATGTAAAACCACTGGGAAAAATTGTGAAAATCATTCCCATTCACATTGACCAATTTCCCACTTGTGAAAAACAGCTGTGAAATATTTTCCCTCTGGTGTAAAAAGGTGTGAAAAAATTTTCCATTTGTGAATATCTTTTTTAAAAAGGGGAAAACACTGAAAATTTTTTCCCCTGAAGGGAAAATTTCTCACAATTATGAAATGAATATTAATTTTCCTGGATGGGAAGTGTGAAAAGTTCCCTCCTTTTGAGGTTAACTATCAAATGCAATGTAATACATGTAAACATGCTCTTACACTTACTATTTGAAAACCCCAAAATACACCCAAACCCTTACCATGCTGAGCCCAACTATATCCAACAGTGGGCTTTTTCTGTGGGATTTTGTTGATGTTAGCAGTAAACCAAAGGCCTTTTGTTCTAGCTATTAGATTCTGTAAGGCCTTTTGTTCTAGCTATTAGGTTCTGTTGGGCCTTTTGTTTTAGCTATTAGATCCTGTTGGGCCTTTTGTTCTAGCTATTAGATTCTGTAGGGTTCAGCAGACTTACTACATTTCTCTTGTACATGTACTCTTTTGGATACAGCAGGGTTCCTAGAGACAACCCAAAGGTGGTTAGGGTACAAAGTCAGTACACGACTCATGAGTTTTCTGTGATTTGGAAGGTTTGATGAATAATCACTTTTGAAATACACTGTATAAAGTACTGCTCAGAATCTTCTATTGTTTTATTTGGGGTGTTTAACAAATGTACTCTTTTTAAACTAAATTGTTGTGGTTAACCACATTTGTAACATGCATAGATTCACCCTTAATTTGAAGTTTATGTCCATAATATTTTACTCAATACCTTGGTTACCATAGGAACTGAGTGCCCTCAAGGATGAGGTGAATTCTCTGAAAGCCACTGTGGAGAGCCAGCAGGCAAAGATTGAAGCCTTGGAAGGAAAGTTGGAAGAGTTAGCTGGAAAGGTCAACCAGACGGAGTAGGTTTAACAATGTCAAGACTTGTACATCATGTGTGTTTAATACATTAATGGTCCTGTCTGACTGACAGTCCAAACATTCAGTGCACTTATCATACCATTGCTGTGGAGTTTGAGCAAGTAAGGATGCCTTGTTACCTGACATCAATATCCCATGGGGCCACTGAGACACTCATGCTGCCATGTGTATGACACAGAGTTGGAATCTGTGTAGGGTTGTAGTTTTACTGCACCCGGGTGGGCTTGCCCAGAATCCTTATGATAATGTGTACTGACATATATGATAGTCGGTCATACTCGGACAAATAGCCTACTATAGCTACTCACCTGTTGAAGGAACATACCATATCCTAGAATGTGAAGACATACGGTATAAATACTAAGAGCGGGGGGGTCCTTTCTACATCACTCAACACACTGTTTCTGTTAGCATTGTTCAGATATGGCTGATAGAGATAGTTATGAGTGTATGTGCTTAATAGAGTGAATATTGTCCCCCCCCCATTTAAACTTCAAATCTTACAATTTAATGAATTTATAAAGAAGCAGAATTGAACAATGGTATACTAAATCCTTTCAAATTATGAGAAGACAACTTCCACTGATGTGACATTTGCTTTGACCGTGTGTGTGTTTTACAAACCCTTTATTATACTGTTAAGTTTTCTAACAATCATTCTAAAATTCTTAAATGCCAGTTGGAGCAGATATATAGTATTTTATACACAATCGAATGCCATTATTTGCTGATCTCGTATTTTCTAGTAGTTTGCCAATTAATCAGTATTTTGTTTTAGACTGTACTCAGTTTGTTTGATATAACCACAGAAATTGGGAAGCTGCCCTTTCCTTACTTTGAAGATGTGCTCAAGAGTTATCTAAATGCTGTCTAGACCCTTGGGGTATATGTTATAATTGTGCTTTGTTTTACATCTTGATTCCAGGAAAAGTTGACTCTAACTTGGGTACCTGTAGATGCCATATTCCACATTCATAGCACTTATGCATACTTGTTGGTGTCTGTTATGGATCATTTTAATCCTCATAGTTCTGTGGTAATTTTTCTCGTGTACTATTATTTACAAGACACTTTTCTATTTTACTAGTACATTGTATTATTAAGTTGTATTTATTTCATTTCTGTTCATTGAGAGTGTCTTGGTGTAAAACGTTTGTTACTTCATTGGGTTGGTATTTTATAGAATGTTGAAGCTTTTTACGGTTTTCTAGAAGCAATACATGCTGTCCAACTATTAAAACAAGTCAGGTTTGTTGCAAAAAAATCTTACAGAAAAAAACGAGGTTGTAGTGAGTATAAGTGGTGTCTGTTGGGATATCATAAACTTCCAATATTGAGCTAGGAATTATGCTGAGCTGAGTATGTGCCTTGGTTATTAATTTGTAATTGTGTCAATGCCAGCTTCTCTTATATAGTGCAGCTTTAATGTAGTACGTAGTTTGACTGTTACATGATGCAAATTTTGTATGCATTTAGTAATACTTAATGTAAATGTTATTTTTACTTCCAAGCAATGGCCGGCATACAATTTAGGTGAAAAGTTTTGGAAGATGACCATAAGACTGATAGGTAGTGGTTATTAATTAAGGTACTATCTGATATCATAACACTTGAAGAAGCTCTTTGTTCAGCTGAAACATGTCAAGGTTAAGGCAGTGAAATGAAGCTTTTACATTACATTTCAATGCTAAAATCAGTAAACCCCAGTGGTTTAAATATGTATGCGGGCAAAGTTGTGTTGAAACGAATACAATACAAAAACCTTTTATCTCACGAGTTGTCAAAACATCCATTTGCCAATTTGCATGAAATATATTTTAAACAAAAGCAGTAATATTAAGAACAAACATGGCTAATTTGTGACGGGAATGCTTTGTCTTTAACTTAGTGCAACTGACGAAAACTTTCAGTAGTGGCGCTTCGTGTACTTCACTTATGAGAAAAAGAATGCTATGATGTATAAATGGCACCGAAACCAAAGGATGGATTTTCGTTTCATGGTATTATTTTTGCAGATGTAAAGGGAAATGATTTGAATTTGTACTAATAAAGTAGAGTGGTACCTTAGTGATTGATGTAGCTTTACATGTGAATTTAGGGCAACGTACTTTCTGCTTGTTTGAGTTGATTCTTGTAACTTGGAATGTTAAACTTTGATCTAAATACACGTGTACAATTCTTGATTCTAACGCATCGATGATTCCTTGGGATATGTCAGGGACTACAGAGTCCTCCAGCCAGAAATAAAGTTTATGGGGGCCACGCGCAAACTCTGTGCACCCCCCATGGTATCCTGGGTTTTCAGTATCTGTTCCCTGTCCTCGAAACGATTCAAACGCTGTAAACAACTGTTTTGGAAACATGCGCCTGTAGGATTGGTCAAAGTATGACGCATGTTTTGTTTTATTGTTTTGGTTAATGTGCTTAGTGAGGTAGTTTTGTTCAAACGTTTGGTATACCATCATCCAGCAAAAGAAGCCGAGACTTGCGTGTAATTTGAAAGTGCCGCTTGTACTCGACGCTTTTTGAACACTGCCAACTATGCGTTTTTCTGTTAACGGTACCTTTGCAAACTCAAGAGCATTAGTTCTGCTAGCAGCAGTGTGATATTGATCTTCCACGCAGGTTCCATGCTAGTTGCTTAAGCTACTTTATTTGAATTTTTCTATTTAGTGCTGTCAAAGTCATAAGAAATAAATCATGATGATGCCGATTGCTATGTTTACGTAAAATTGTCCTTGCCTGTGTTGAACAAGAATACTGGCGACTCATAATATTGCGACTGCAAGAGTGTTCAACACGTTTGCCAATCATAGTGCACGAATTATGTCGACCCAATGTACGTTTAGAAAGGGTAGATCATCGACAGATTTTGCGTGTTGTCGTTGGCCAACGCCTTGCAAACTCTTGGGCATTATTTTGAATCGTCCGTATTTGTGTTCAAGAATTTGTTTCCAAGCTTTGAAACACTACAAAAAAGAAACCCCGGATACCCCCAAAATTGTGAAGAATTGGGTTAAAACTCGTAACTCGATCCGTCGAATGCAATTTAATTAAGTGTAGTCTATCAGTATATAGGCCTAGACAGTTAAAAGTTCGAAAAAAGTTCGAATACCTTGTTTAAAAAATGATGAGATGTTATAAATTTCTGATGCTAATTACTGAAAATACTGTTCTTTTTAAAAAATTGCTCAGACCACACTGCCATTTTCGTTAATTGGGCTTGCTATTCTGAGTCGTCTCTTCAGCAGGGAAATAGTAAACGGTATAGACAAATCCAGACGCCGTTTACACTCACGTAGCTGTCTCAACTTGAGCGCGCGCGCGCCCTTCGATGGGGCGAAAATGCCCCCGTCATTTTCTTGTGATGCAGATTATTTCTTTTCTTAACAGAATTATCTTCCAAAATTCTTCCCAATTATCTTCCTTAAGCTTACCTTATGTTGTACCAGTAGTCTGGGGAATCGAAGGGGGGGGGAAGTGGATCACTTATTTCGAGCCGACCCGTTACCGACACCTCCGTCGACAGCGCTGCCACCAGGTGGAAAATTTATAGGCCCTGAACTTCAGGGGTTCCGCCTCACCGGTTTAGTATTTTGAGATCTAAGACAAAGATTCGCCGTCAAATATATGACCAAGTGAAGAGATAAGTCAAGCAATTAAGAATGTACTATTTTCTTATGGGCAGACAATCTACTCGAGGAATTTACAGTGCAGACAACTTTCAGAACAAATCATCAATAATAATTCAATTCAAGTCTGACGACATCAAGAAGACGAGGGCAAGGATTAACCGAGAATAATTTTTCACTGCAATGGGATTAGGTGCAAATTATAAACAACCGTCTTAAGAATTGAGAGTAGGGTCTAGGCAGCAAGTCTAAACAACGGTAGAGCAACACCTGTCCCTACCAATTCACATGGTCTTCAACAATAACTCTCTTATAAAAATCCTTAATAACTCTAGGCACCACCTAGGACTCTCTTTAACCGTAAATATCACTAGGCAACTCCTGTGCCTCTCTTAAATTTTAACGCCGCAAGACTTTATCCAAGGCCTCTGACGGGTCTGCCAGTAGTTTCTTGAATATCCTGACCCCCTATTACACTGGAGATAATTCGTAAGATTATATTTATTTTCGCCTGGCTCCTCTTTCCAAATTCCAAAATAACTTACTGTGTGCTTCCAATAAGCCTAGATATACGACCTCCTCAGCCTCTCCTCGTCTGCTCCTCTAACAGAACTGCTCCTCAGTCAATTTCTCAGTCCCTGGTCTTCTTTTATTATCCCAACTAATTTCTCCCTTGCAAGATCCCGTCCCGATTCAGTGTTTATTATGCCCAAATACACAGTTCCTCTGCCTGCTCGTCAGTTCCTCTTTTAATCAGTGATCAGCAGCACAAGTCAACCCTAACATCCAAACATCCAACCCAACTCACTGAGAATCTGGCGTTTTTATACTCTTGAACAGCGCGTCATACGTGGAGCTGACCGTACACGTAGTAGATAAGCCACGCCCATAAGGTTCTACTGAATGAAATTACTATTCACAGAAGAATTTTCATCCGCTCGAAAAAAACACCTGTTTTTAATAACACCTACACTCATCAGTTAAAGCATCAAATTAATCCTTAACTCTCAGTCTTCTTCTAGTCTTCTGTAAAATCACCTAAATTCCTCGGAAACATGAGTGAAAGAATCATGAATGAATGTAAACACGCCGTACTTTGTGCAAAGTGCAGTGAATGTCATGTCATTAATATTCACGAGCACTGTCTACCAAAGGCAATTGACTATTGCCTATTGGTCAAGGAGGAATTTTACGCTTGCGCACCACCTGCCTGCATGCTAACAAGATGGCCCCGTAGTAATGGTTACTAAATCTGTTGGTCGGATTTCTCCATACATGTACGTTTTTCGTATAAGGTGGCAATCAAATGAGTGTTTCATTACGATTCCAAAGGGAAATCAGTTCCGTTGTGATTGTAGTTTACACTGCAAAGGCGGTAATACTTGAATCATCGAAATGAAAACAGATAGACATTCACAGAGATGGCTTGTTTTAAAGAATTAGCTATTGTGTTTGGTTTCCACACATTGAATTTTTTTTCTATCAAGAACTTGTACATGTTTTATGCTACGGACAGCTATTTTGAAGAGGTTATGCGTCAAGACATTATTCGAGACCAATAACAACGAGGTTAAAGAATGGATTTTGAAGCTGCTTCAATTTTGACGAAGGAATGTGTCTATATATGAATGTACATTCAGAATACGTCTGCTGATATTAAGTTTTACATTTTAAATTCTTGTGCACTCCCCAATTTTATGCGTTAGCCTCTAAAAAATCTGCTTGTCATTGCTCTTTGAAAAATCTTCTTGTCATTGCTGTCTGGGATCTTTGGGAGTTTGGAGATGTCGATGCGTTCATGCAATGGTTGATCTTTGGTGTGTTAGATCCTCTTGTACAAGCGTGTTGCCACAATATCGTCAAGTATGCAAGTCTGAAATTAAATGAAATATGATGGAGAATACCGTCATTAGCAAACAATTGTATAGCATTACTTAAGACGTTTACTTACATGTTGATGTAGGGCTACTTCTTTATTAGTATAGCCATCGATAACTGTGCATAAACTCGACTGTGAGCCAGTTGGAAAGATTTGCTTTCACTCAGACATTGAATGAAGCAAGATCATTTGAAATAAGTCTTCGTATTATTGGTGATGGCTCGGTCCTAAAACTAACCTCTTATTACTCAGAGGAGAACAATGCACGAAGCAAACAAATTAATTGCATTTTCAAAGTTTTGTTCATCAGTCGTTTGCATAACACTTTCAGTTGTTAAAGTCTTAGTTGTTAAAACGTTTGATTTAGTATTATCCTTACCACTTTCAGATCTCCACTTTCTGTCAGCTCTCTTATGTATGTCACCTGTTTTCCTTTTCCGTCACGGGGTTTCTCAATTTGGGTCAATTTGTCATCATTAAGAGTGACAACATTCTGTTGAAAGATTTCAGTGAGAATGGATTATGAAATAATTTGTTATCATGGTGGAGGGGAAGCCGACAGTATGTATCGGAATAATTGAGTGTATTATGAAGGGACGCAGTACTGGTCCAATTATCCGTCACGAAAGTCTTATTTCTTTTTCAATGTTCAGTCATTGTTTCTTCTATGCTCAGCCGTAGCGAAAGTTTTATTTCTTTCTCAATAATTGGTCATTGGCTCTTCTTTGCTCACTTTCGGCTGTTAACTCTGATTTCGAAGAAAGGTTTGACATGGTCAAGGTCCGTCAGTCCCTAACCTTTGTTTCTCTGCCATCTTGTGAGGTGGCTTCGTACTCTTCGCCCAATGTGAACTCCACTGTGATGTTCTTAAATGTGGATTCGGTGATAAACTTAAAGTGCTTTCCATCGTCTGTTTGGATCGTTAGTGTTGGTTTGGTAGTGCTGCCAACTTTCCGCAGAAGGACATTTACTCCTGTGAGAAGACCAGAAAGTAGAATTTAGCTTGGCTTTGGCTGTGGATAAGTTGAGTAGGAGGCCTGTCCGTTGATTTGTCATCTCTGTCAGTTTCTAGAGGTCTTTGTCAGGAGGATTAGTGCACCGAGGCAAAGCTTTTAGGGGATGTTAATCTTTGCCACGCCCCTGCTTTGACTTTTCATGGTTTAAAATGAGATGAAAGGCAATGGCGAATTTAGATTAACATAAACGTGATAATCTCGATATTGGAATTTTCTGTCCAAATTTTAATAAGTGATACACAGTAATCTGCTTGCTGGAATTGTAGCTTGCGCCTATACATTGTTAAAATATCAATCATAAACACGTAAGCCGTATAAAATTTGACAAGTAAGACACTGTCTGACGCCCCAATTCGTTGCAACAAAATGTTGCGTGTCTGGTCACATTATTGACACGTGTGAACTCACCCGAAAAACCTTCTTAAAAATGAGTAAGCATTGGGATACACCGCGTACAGGGGAATTACTTTCTCTTCTGGTAGTCTGGTATACTTTTATAATACCATATTTTGCGCCAAATTAG